GGCGTATTCTCTTAGCTACTTCCTGCTGAAAAGGGACGCTGTGGGTTTCAGGGTGAAGATCTTCTCTCTTGGCTTGGGATTCTGACTCCAGGTGGTCAGCTGTGTGGGACTGCAGGGTCTTCTGCTTGACTCCCAGCTCCGGAGGTTGAGGCAGCGGGGGTAGGGGGCTTGTCCTGGGGTCTCTGAGTCCCAGCAGACTCTTCAGCACAGACACCAGCCATGCAGCGTGGGAGAGGAGCCCACAGCGACTGTTGGTGAAGCACTTGGAACAAGTCCGCTCCGTCAGGTCCACTAGATGGAAGTGTCTCCCTCTGTCTCCCTGAGATACTGAACGCAAACAAAACACCCATGGCCATCTCATCAACTCCAGCGCCAAGGGACCCTGCAGGACAGAGGACAGCCCGGGCCTCTGAGCCCGCAGATCTTCCAGAACCTTTCCGCTCTGGAGCAGCTGGTAGGTTCAAACCAAAGACCTTTTTATTCGCAGCCACATTCTCTCCCTGCTGAGCTACCAAGGCTTTCTTGCTTGGCTTGAAATAAGCGAGTCTTCGGAAAGGCTCCATCATCAGCCTGTAGACTTGGACTTTCTGATGCTGGACTCTGGCACTCTCAAAATAATTTGACTCTTGGAAATAGAAAAGATTGTAACAGTATTTTGTCCACAAAAAAGCGCCCCTGCTCAGTGAAATATCTTTACTTCCAGTTCAGTCAACCTCTGAGTGCAAGGACTGAGCTCCAGAGGGCTCCAGCATGGCCCTGGGGTGCCCTCGGGGGTTCCAGTGAGGCCCCAGGGCACCCTCGGATCACAGCATCTGCCTTCTCACCCATCGGACCCCGCCTGGCTCCAGGAGGCCTGCCCACTTTTCTGGGTCTCCTGGAAACAAGTTCACGAGGAGGATGGACTTGGAGAGCCCTTTCATGGACCACCTTTGATCTTTGGCCTCTTCTTAACACAAATTATTCCTTGGATGTTGGCTCGCTTCCCAGAAGCAAATGAGGTCACAAATTTACCTTTGATTGCTCTCTGGGCATTAAAAAGGCCCAGAACGGGGACTGTGTGGCCTCCCTGTCATTGGGAGTGACCCACATTGGTCAGATCGATGAGTCAGGGTTGAGCCTGGTCACACCCCTGCTTTGCCCAGAAAACTGTGGCTTCGTTTTGTAGCCACTCAGCTGGGACCTGGGTGTCTTGACAGCCATCATCGACAGTATTTACAGCCCATTTGCTAAGCTCTTTTCTCTCATTAATGCATCGGATTCTCACCACCACCGTAATAGGCAGCACCGTTGTCCCCGATTCACAAAGAGGAAATTGGGACCTGGTAACTGTGGTAAAGCTGGTGGCTTGTCCCCCAACAGCAGTTTCCCATGGGGTTGAGAAAAGAAATGACATTTTTAGCAGGGACTGTGGCCGCCTGGAGGTTCCCAGCCTCCCTTGCGGCAGACGTGGACATGTGACTTCCCTCTGGCCAAGCAGCATGGAAGGACACAGCTGACAGCAGTTCTGGGGACGTCTGGGAGGCAGGTACGCACTCCTGTGGTGGTGACTGTCAGTCCCTCCCTTTATCCTGCTGCCTGGATGTCGCGTCTTCACTGTGAGATGGGCCCTGGGTGGAGGAAGGTTGGCTGAGTCCCAGACCCTGTTGACCACTATCTCAGCCTGGCCTGAGTTTGACAGACAGACATAAACTTCTGCCTTCTTGAATCTATTCTGGTTTTTTTCCAGGCTGAATCTCAGTAGAATTCAGCCAGTAGCAGAGGTGGGAAGTGAACCTGAGTTTGCTTGGCTCTTAACCTCAGTGCCACTGTGTAACCGTGGAGCCGTGGTGGCAGCGTGGTTAAGTGCTTGGCTCTGAGCACGGTGTTGTTGGTGCACACTCACCAGCGCAGTGGCCGTCGTTGCAAAGGTTCGCAGCCTGGGGAGCCCTAGAGGGTTCCACTGAGTCAGAATGTGCTTATTTCCTAAGCGGTGTCCCTGGTCATAAATGGTTAACCAGGTGGCTGAAGTCCCTCTGGGTGGGTCTGAACTGTCAACGTTTTGGTTGGTAGCCCAGCACTTAACAATATGGACCATTCAGGAACTCCTAAAATGTCAACAGTCTCTGCAAAACCTTATACAGCAAATGCTCATAATAGCATTGCTCATAGTGACCCAGCGTAGCCGTGACCCAGGAGTCCACCGGCTGGTGAATACATCAGCAGGATGGGTTCTGTCGAGACAGGTGCATTGTTTAGCCTGGAGAAAGAATCGAGCTCAGCTGCACGCTCCAGGGTGGGTGAGCCAGGAGTGCACAGTGTGGAGAAGCCACATATTCCACTGCTGCTTTCATGCGAAATACTCAGAAAGGACAGTTCTGTGGAGACAGCTTCACGGTGGCTAGGAGAGTGTTGGGATGGAAGGGGACATGGCTGCAAATGGTCCACAGGATTTCTTTTTTTTGTCCTAAATTTTTTAAATTATTTTTTGTGTGTACTGTCAAATCGGATCTGACGGGTACAGGAGGAGATTGTCCCTCCGTCTCCAGCAGAGCATCTGATGGATTAGAACCACGTACCTCTGAGATTGCAGTGCAGCTTCTTGCCCCTAGGCCACCAGAGCTCCCTTAGGATTTCGTTTTAGGGTGATGAAAACTTTCCAAACTTGTGGTGATGGTTGTACTGTATACTGTAAATGTGAATATGCTGGAATCACTGAGAATTACACCTCCAAGGGGTCACTTGTACCCACCCTGTGCTGTCCAGTTGAGTTCATCATGACCCGTAGGACCGAATAGGACCCCATAGGACTGAATTGGACCTCTCTGCAGGACCAATGTCAAGAAGACAAA